ATGGGGGGGTAATGGTTCCCCCCCTGAGTAGATTGGGTCCTTCCCCCTTCGCCCGGTCCCCGATTCTTTTCTTCTCTTTCCCTCCCATGCCCCGCAGCGGGGCTGTTTCGTCCCCCCCACCCGCCCCTCCCGTACCCCAGACATGGAAGGGACGGCTGATAGATGGATCGATACTCGGCTGACGCTCTTCGTTACGACATGGCGATTTCATGGCTCTCTGCCTCAACCTGACTGGGCACGCTGCGGTGCTCGCTCCGCGCGCCGTGGCGCTCCCTGCCTGTCCACATGGCGCCGGGGCCCTCCCGCTTCGCGCCACCGCCCCTCTTCCCCGCCCGCGCCGGGTGGCGGCGGCTCCCATCCGCCCGACAAAGGCCAACGAGATGCCTGCAGATGCCGCGCTCTCGCTGGCGCTCAAGGCGGCGGAGGCTTCGCACAGCGCCGCCGCGTGCGCCGCCTCGGACGCAGCCGCTCTCGAGGGCGTCGCGCGCCAGCTCGGATCGGGCGAGGGCGCCGCCACATGGAGGGGCGCGGCCGCCGTCACCGCCGCCTCTGCCAAGGCGTCCGCCGCAGCGTCTCGCCGAGCGGCGGCCAGAACAGCCGCCTTGCGGGCCGAGGTGGCGCGCCGCCGCCGGGATGAGACGCCCAAGCGAGCTCCATCCGCATCCCCGGCCGCCGACGACGAGAGGGCGGACGCATCGTGCGATTTGGAGGACTCGGGCACCGCGTCGGAGGAGCCGGCCGACCCCGCCTCGCTGCGGGCGCTGAGGCGGGTGCGAGAGCGCCGGAAGGCCTCGCGGGCCGCGGCTGCGAGCGCTCTTGTCGAAAGTGACGTTTCGACCGAGGGGGACGATGGGCCGGTTGACGAACAGGGTGGGTCGGCCTCTGAGCCAGGCACACCAGAGAGGCGCGCCACAGCTGTCACTGCGTTGTCGCCGTGCAAGCCACGACGCAAGCGGACAAAGGCAACGACCGACGACACGGATCCGCCCGCGGACGAGCAGGTCGCGTGCACCAAGCCCTCGCCGGCGGTGGAGGCGATGGCCGCCGCCGCCGCCTTGGCCGCAGCGCATCGCGTGCGCACGGTTGCGGCAGAGAAGCGGGAGGCGGCGAGGGCCAAGGAGGCTGCCGCATGGCAGCGGCGTGAGCTGGTGCGGGAGCGCGGCGAGGAGCGCGAGATATTTCGCGCGCAGGTATATGCAGTCAACAAGCTCATGCGGGAGAGGGAGGAGGCGCGGTTCGCCAGCTTTGCAAAGGCGGCAAGCGGTGCGGGCGGGGACTCGCAATGATGTGTGATTTGCGCAAGAAAGGGCAGTTTAGCGTAAAATACTGTAAGGCATATCGGTTCCCTGGGCGTTTACTAGCGCTCGCTTGGACGTATAAACCAGCCGCGCGTGCACGAGACACTAAGTCGATATTCCTCATGAGTATTGAGTTCTCACACCACACCATGGCTGGGCCGGTTTGCCCGTGCTTGCTCTCATCGCTTGCACGTGCTTGCGTCTCAATCCAACGACCATGAGGCTAGAGACGGCACGGCTGCGTCCTCAGAAAGAAACCCTCCAATCTCCGTCTTCTTCATGCAGCGCCTTGCTTGCCGCTGTCAGCATCTCTCCCTGGTCGGTGGCGGGCGAGCCTGGTGCAGTCTCCCCATCCCGTTCGAGGAGGAGTGAGGCGACGTCGGTGGCGCGCTCGTGCACTTCGACGACTACTCCACCATCCTCTAAAACGTCCCAAGAGCTGACCCGCTCAGGCAAGGGCGCCGGTGGGCGAGCAGCCGTGTGCTTTGCAGGCGCCATTTGTCCAATCGCGACAGCAGAGGACATGGATGAGACCTCGTGAAAGGCAGTCGCCTCTGTCGCTTTCGACTGGAGGCCGTGCGAGTCTACCACGATTCCACCGTCGACGGCAAGCATGTCTCTCCCCGTCGCGGCGCGGCTATCCCGCCTTGATGCCGCCGCGCCTTTTCGAGAAGCCGTACATCTGGCGTATGCGCTGCATGTGTTTCGATAGGATTTCATCAGCAGCGTAAACATCCTCCGCAGCGGCGCCAATCAGCGCCGCGCGACGAGTCATCATGATGAGCTGGGACGAGACGAAAATGATCCAGAGACTGGCCATCACGGTGATGCCAGAGGAGACTATGAAGATGGTCGCTGGTAAGTCGTTCAGTCTGTATTCGTAGAAGTCAGGGCCCTCGTCCTCCATGACGGTCTGCAGCGACTCCCCGCCGATGGATGCGCAGGCAATGCCAGCGATGAGAATGGCCTGCGTCGAGATGTCCGACAGGTTCTCGACTGAAGTTGTGATCTGCTTGTTGTACATCTGGAGCTGCTGGTTGGTGTAGTCGGCCCTGTTGAGTCTGTTCTCCGCGTCTTGCAGCCCCATATTTGTCAACGACGCAAACGATGGCGGGACGGGCACCGAAAAAGGGTGATGCCCCTTGCGTTTCTTCTCGCTGGCTTTGTTTCCCACCCCGGCCCCGCTCCCCGACCCAGGTCCAGACACTGCGAGCTTTGCGTGTCTGGGGGTGGCATGCGATGACGAGGCGATTGCTGGGGCGCTTCCACCCATCTTGGACAGGGGAATGGCCTCTCGCGTCTCCATGCTGCCCCGACCCTCGCCGCTCTGGCCAGCGCTTTCTGTGCCCGCGGAATTTCGGCCGACTTTTTACTGCATACTGGGGGGGGGGGGTGACAAAAACCAAGAAACCTCGAGAGTTGACTTCATCCAATTTCATCGCGAGACCACGCAACTCTCCGACTCCCACGTCCCCCACACGCTGATCGTTGTGATCAAATCCCGCTCCGACAGCTCGACCCCTAGGCCGGTATCTTCTCCAGCCCCCAACCCTGTTTATCGCCACGTGTCTGACCCCGCCGGGCGCCTAGCATCCAGAGTCACCTCCGGTGCTCAGTCACCCGGCCCTTCACCCTGACGGTGCCCATGGACATGGCATAGCCATGCCCCCTTCGCCGGCCCCGCCCTTTCCGCCCTCTCCCAAACCCACACCCGCCGGGTGCCGGGCCGAACCTCCACCCTCAGCGGCCTCGGCCTCGGAGCAGCGCCTTCCCGTGGCGGCTGAGCGTGTAGTAGCCCGCGCGCGGCGGCGCCCAAGCTGGCGGGTCCACCGCCGCCCAGAGAGGCGCCTCGACGTTGCGCCCCCTCCCCTCGCGGCAGAGCGCGTCCACCACAGCGCGCCTACGGGAGGAGTGCCGTGCCACGTGTGGCGCCGCGCGCCGCAACGTGCTCGACGCCCCACCATGGCTGCGCGCCGCACGCAATCGCCGTGCGCCGCCGCGTGCTCGGCGATCGCTTCGCGCTCAGAGATGCCCTCGCCGAGCGCGGCCACGATGAGCGCGCGGATGGAGCCCTCGGTTGGCGCCACCACAGCGCCACTGACGCCGCCGCCGCCGCCGCCGCCGCTGCCGCCGCCGCTGCTGCCACCGCTGCTTCCGCCACCACTGCTGCCGCCGCCACTGCTGCCGCCGCCACTGCCGCCGCCGCCGCCGCCGCCGCCGCCCCGGGTCCTCCCGCCTCCACCGCTGCCGCTCACGGTGGTGGTGGCTGTCGCGGGCTCAAGCACCGCCGCCTTGCGCTTGGAGCCCGACGATCGCTCCGCCGGCGCGGGCGGCGGCGGCCCGCCGCCGCCCTTTTTGGCCACCAGCCGGTTCCACCGGTTGCGGACGGAGTCCTCGGAGCGGTACGGCAAGCTCTGTGTCGCGGCCTGGAAGCGCGTGCTCCCCGTGCCCGACGGGGACACGAGCCGCAGGATGATCTCGTCCTCTTCTGCCGTCCACGGCTTGCGCGTCGAGTCGGGCTTCGGCGCGGCGGGAGGCTCTGGCGGCTCAATCTTGGCAGGGGGTGCTCGCTCCCTGCCGCTCGGCGCCGCCCGCCCGCCCGACGGCGGCAGCGGCCTCGCCCCGCGGGCCTTGAGCAGCCGCAGGCCGTGGCAGCTGAGGGCGTAGTAGCCCTGCGGAGCGAGAGGGCGGGAGTGAAGGGTGCGATGAGGCTTCCAGCTGCCGCTCACAGAGCAGAGGCGGGGGTGCGTGAGGACCGGGTGGGTGGGCGGCGGGAGGGGCCGCACCGCGCGCGGCGGCGCCCCTGTCGGGGGGTCGACACCGACCCACAGAGGCGCCTCGACGTTGCGGCCCCTCCCCTCGCGGCAGAGCGCGTCCACTACCGAGCTGCGCGGCCGCAGAAGCGCCCCATCGCCGTGCGCCGCCGCGTGCTCGGCGATCGCCTCGCGCTCAGAGACGCCCTCGCCGAGCGCGGCCACGATGAGCGCGCGGACGGAGCCCTCGGTTGGCGCGAGCGACAGGATCTCCTCGTCCGAGTCGGCGTCGCCGATCACCGCCGCCGGCGTCGCCGGCTCCTTGGCCGCCCGCGGCGACGCCTTGCTCGAGGACGCGGCGGGGCGCGACTCCTCCCCCTCCGCCTCCTCCATCGTCGCCATCCGCCGCCGCCACGCGCCGCTCCGCGCGCACGAGCGGCCCGGCCGTGCGGCGCCGGGTAGAGGGTCTCCCTCGCTCCTCTCGGCGTCCGGAGAGTAGAGCAGCTCCGGCTCGCGCGCGGCGCCCGTCGCGTCCGGCCCGGGCTCGCACAGAAAGTCCGGCACGGCCGCCTGGAACGCCTCCCCCACCCGGATCCGCTTCTCGTCGTCGTCGCTCGGCTTGAGCGTCGGCGCGAGCAGGAAAGTTCCCGGCCGCTTCCAGTCGCTCGCCGCCGCATCGCTCGACCCGCCGCGCGAAGGGGCTGACGGCCCCCCCTCGGCCGCCGGCTTGTGGTGGTGCTGCTGCTTGCACCAGCGCTCGTGGTTCGACTTTGCGCCGGCGTTGACGAGCGAGCGGCCGCAGTAGACGCACTGCCAGCGGCTCTCCTCTGCAGTGTCGTCGGAGGTGTCTGTCACGGGCAACGGCGAGCCGCGGGCAGACGCTGACGGCCCCCCCTCGGCTGCCGGCTTGTGCTGCTGCTGGTGCTGCTGCTTGCACCAGCGCTCGTGGTTCGACTTTGCGCCGGCGTTGACGAGCGAGCGGCCGCAGTAGACGCACTGCCAGCGGCCGTCTCCCCCGGACTGGGAGCCGCCGCCGGAAAGGGCCAGGCGGGCCAGCGGGGAGGCGGCACGCGCTTGCTTCGGCGCGGTGTCGCCGCCGCTCTCCTTGGCGTCCCCCTCCTCGCCGCCGTCGCCGCCTGCAGCGGCGGCAAACGCGCTGGCCTCGGGCTGCGCCTCGAGTGAGAGGCGGACCAGCTCGGAGATCGCGGCGAGGTCCTTGTCGAGCCCCCCCTCCTCCCGCACGCCCTCCGCTCGCCCAACCACCTCGGGCTCTTCGCTGGTCGGGGCCGCGGCGGCCGCCGCGGCGACGTCAGGGATGGCGGCGACGAAGGCGGCGGCGGGGACGGCGGCGGCAGTGGCGGGGAAGGCGGCAGAGGCGGGGAAGGCGACGGGGAAAGCGGCGGCGGCAGGGATGGCCCCAACGCCAGCGGGAGGGACGGCAGCAGAGAAGGGGGCTGCGGCGTAGGGAGCGGGAACGGAGGCGGCGGCGGCGAGCAAGGCGGCGGCGGCGGTGGCGTCTGCGGCGCTGACGGCGGCGGGGAAGGAGGCCACAGCAGGGAAAGCGGCGGCGGTGGGGATTGCAGCCGCGGTGGGGAGGGCGGCTGAGGCGGGAACGGAGGCAGGAAAATTCGCAGCAGCGGGTAAGGCGGCAGAGCCGGGGAAAACGGCGGGGCCGGGGAAAGCAGCGGTTGGGAAAGCGACTCCCGCAAGGAACGCTGTGGCGGGGAACGCCTGGGCAGCGAGGGCCGCGGGGGCCGGAACAACGGCTGCAGAGGGTGCGGCCGCGGGGACGCCGGTGACCGGGACGGCGGCGGCGGGCTCAGCGGAGGAGGGGACGACAGCGGAGGGCTCAGCGGCGGCGGAGTCGGCGGCGGCGGAGGGCTCGGCGGCGGAGGGGGCGGCGGCGGCGGCGGCGGCGGCGGCGGCGGCGGGCTCGGAAGCGGAGGGGGCGGAAGCGGCGGGCTCGGCGGCGGACGGCGCGGAGGCGGACGGCCCAGCGGCGGTGTGCTCGGCGGCGGCGGGCTCGGCGGCGGCGGAGGGCTCGGCGGCGGCGGGCTCGGCAAGCCTCTTGCAGGAGGGCTCGGCGGGGGCGGCGCCCCCGTCCGGGATTGGGGGAGGCACGGCCGACAGGCTCGCCGGGAGGCGTGCGGTGACGCCCTTGACGGCGACAAGCCCGACGAGCACTATGCGCGTGCTCGCGGCGCCCGGCCGCAATGCCGGTGGCGTGATGGGCGCTCCTCCCGCAGTGAGCCAGGAGCAATGCAGGGTTGGCCAGCCGAGGGAGGAGCGCACGACCGCGTCCGCCGTGTCGCCGACGTTGCGGATGAGCGTGCCCCCGCCACCCGCCGTCGACGGGTCGTGCAGCAGAGGAACCACGCACGCGAAGTGCGCGTCCGCGCGGAGCGGCGGCGGCATGACTGCCTCCGCCGTGAAGCGCTGCAGGCTGAAGCCGTGCGTCACGGTGCGCCGCCACGCGCTCACGTTGGCGCTCGACTCGCCGGCCCGCCACGGGGGGAGCGGCCGCGCCGCGACGCCGTACGCCTTGTGCACGAGCGCCGCGAGCCGGTGGTACACGCAAAAGCACGCCCTCAGCAGCGCGAGCTGGTCCTCGTCCAGCCGGCCGCCGCGCAGGCTCGGGCTCCCGATTGAGATGCACGCGGGCGCGGGGCCCGCGGCGGGCGGCGCGGAGCCGTGCGCGTCGCTCGCCCACCCGATCCGCGCCGCGAGCTCGAGCAGCATCTGACGCTCCGCCGCGTCGATCAGCGCGCCGTTTGACACGTGCACGCGGCAGAACCGCTGCACCGCCAGCGGCTGGGCGAGGACGCGCGGGTGCAGCCGCAGCGCGGAGCGCAGCCCGAGGTCGCGCGCGCCCACCGACCGCTCGAACCTCGCGACGGCGTCGTCGGCGCACCGAGACGTGCGCCGCGTCGGCCGCATCGCGCCCACCTCGGCGGACTCCCCGCCGTCGCTGACGCCGCCGCCGTCGCCGCCGTCGCCGCCGGTGCCGTTGTCGTCGTCGTCCTCTTCGTCGGACTCTCCGTCAACGTCGTCGTCGACGCCGACGCCCGCCCGCCGACGCCGCTTCTCCCGCTCCTCCGCATCCGACCCCGCCTCGGAGATCATCGGCGTCTCGGAGTCGTTGCCCGAGCCCGTGGCTTCGGGGTGGAGGACGCGCCGCCGCTTCTTCTTGCGGCGCTTGCGGGCGTCCGGCGCGGGGCCTGCCAACGGCAGAGGCATCACCGCGTCCCAGTCCACCGTCTGGATCGGCGGCGACGGAAGCAGCAGCTTGTTGCCGCGGTCGCCGCTCTTGCCGATGAAGCGGACCATCAGTTTGTCCCCATTCTTGACTGAGAGGAGGACGGCGCGCATGGGCTGCGGCGGCAGGCCCGCGAGCGAGCCGAGGGCGATGCACTCGCCGCCCGTCTTGAGGCCTCGCTTGAGCTGGGGCGTTGGCATTCCGTCGTCCGTTCCTGTAGACGACAATCGGGGCGGGGCGATAGGGCGTGGTCGCCGGCTGCGACGGCGACGGCGAGGACGGACAATGGGGCGGGGCGCGTGGCCGGCGAGGAGAATCGGTGTGTGAGGGGGCCGACGTGGCGAATAGGGCGTGGGGAGGCAGGCGGGGCTCGCCCCCGGCAAAACTTGTGGGGGGCTACGCGCCTGCGACGGCGAAGGCGTGACGGCCGCGAACACCTCGACGCTCCACTCCAACTCTAAGCGGGTCGGTGCGTAAGCGGGGCGGTGCGGGGTGCGGGGACCGGCATCATGTTTCTTATCGAGGCGTGTCTGACGGACCGTCAGTGCACGGAGTTGCCCCTTCTCCGACTGCGTTGAGGAAAACGAGGAGAACGAGAGAGAATTCTTTCTTTTCGCCTTGCTGTGAGGCTCGTATTTTAAAGATTCTTTTCGCCGCGCCCTTTGTTATGCCAGTGTGCTTTGCGAGAGGTTTGTATTTTATGACTTTTTAATTTTGCTGTTCTTGATTCTTCTTCGCTGGAACCCAAGAGAGAACCTCTCTCTCTCTCTGGAACCCTGCGTGCGACGCGTCACTGCAGCTCCTGCAGCTCCTGCTGTCAGTCTTCTACTCTCACTCGCCGCGCGCGGATTGTGCGTCGCACCAGCAGGACACATGCTCATGCAAACAGTGCAAGAACTTGGTTGCGCCGCTTAGTGGCGGCGCTGCTTTAGAGGAAGCGGCAGCGTGGGAAGCACAGCAGATGGAGGCGGCGCGGCATGCCAAGGAGCTGCAATCGCAGTACTGGGGGCGGCAGCGCCAGCAACGAGCAAGGAGAGACTGGCGGAGGTTGAGCGGCTGAGTGCAGCAAGGGCCAAGGGCAAGAAAAAGGAATGTGGCCGTGGGCGATACGGGCGCCGCTAGGCTCAACGAGGAGATGCTGTGCAGTTAGAGAGCTCGTAGCGAGCTCGATTTTGGATGAGAATTTAGATGAGAAATCCCTCAATTTTGAGAAAAAACGCCAAAAAATCGGCGCCTGCGGCGGGCCAGCCTCCGGCGGCGCCTGCGGCGGGCCGCTGGGGCTTCCTCCCCAGACCCCGTTTACACCCGAGCTATGCCCCACGACCTGAGCCGGAGCCTTATCAAGTCCGCCGAATTTAAGATTTTAGAGGCCGGCCGCAGGCCGGCGATTTTCAGATTTAGACCAAGATTTTAGAGCTCTGGAGCGCATTTTCGCAAGATTTTAGCTGGATTTTCAAGATTTTACAGCTCACGGCCGCCCCGCCTTCAAATCTTAAATTCGGCTGACATTTGCGCTGTATCTGATCTCCCAGCGTGCGCTTGCCAGCATCAGTATGGCGCTCAGGTTGACGCTCCTTGCTCGACGCCCCCGCGGCGGAACGTTTCTTATTCTGCGTTAGTGCCAGTGCGCGCAGGTCCCGTGCCAGGTGTCGTGCGAGGGAGATTTGTAGAAAAAAGTATTCTTCTTCTTTCCAACTTTGTGTGCCAGCCGCTTGTAGACTCACTAGACTGACTCGACACTGTAGATCTGAATTCTTTTTTGGCGGGCAGCAGCCGGGCGAGGGAGGGCGCATCGCCGCGCGGAGAGGGCTGGGCACAGGGCACAGGGGATCTCTCTCGCATAGGATACACACCGGCGGCACGTGTATTAGCGGCATGCGCGAATTCTTAGTCTGGAGATTCTTTTTCTTGTCGGGCCGGTGAGGGAGGGGGCCGGTGTGTGTGGCAATGGCCGCCCACGACTCCATCATCCTCGAGGAGGACATCGACGAGGACTACGACCCGACGCCAGACGAGATCGATGAGTACGCCACCTGGCTCGGCATGAGGCGGCCGGAGGACGACGACCTGCTCTGGATCGCGAGCGAGGGGCTCAAGGCGCCGCTGCCGGAGCACTGGAAGCCGTGCAAGACGCAGGACGGCGGCGAGATATACTACTTCAACTTTGCGACCGGCGAGTCCGTCTGGGACCACCCGTGCGACGACTACTACCGCAAGACGTACGAGGAGGAGAAGGCCAAGAAGCTGCGCCGCTCTGCTGAGGGGAATGGCCGTCCGGCAGCGGCGCCCAGCTCGCCAGGGCTGGGCCGGCAGCCTCCTGGCGGGCCCATCGGGCTGAGCGCGCTCGGTTCCGCGGCGCGGCCCGCGCTGGCCCCGATTGGCTCCACCTCAGGCCCGCCCTCACCTCTCTCCCCGGGTCTCGCCTCCTCTGGCCTCGGCTCCTCTGGCCTCGCCTCCTCCGTCCTCGCCGCGGGCAGCAGCTCGCCGTCGCCGCTCGCGAGGTCGGCGCCCGGCGCGCGGGGGAGATCGGAACCCGGTGCGCCGACCACCGGACCGCTGACGGGCGCGGCTGCGGCCGAGGCGTCCGGCACGGCATCTGGCGTTGTGGAGCCGGCAGTGGCGGCGGCGGCAGGTGTTGCGGAGCCGGCAGAGGTCGTGGCTCGGGCGAGGGAGGCGAGTGGGCTGGTCGAGATGGGAGGGAGACGCCCGAGACACGTCCGAGACGCGTCCTGGCCCGCGGCCAGGCGCGCGAGCGGCTCGTCGAGATGGCCGCCGCTGTCGAGAGCGAGTTGGAGCAGGCGGAGGACGCTTCCGAGACACTTCCGGAAGAGACACCTCCCGAGACCCGCGTTCTGTGGACGCTGGGAGCCGCCTGTCCTCACCGCCACCCTCGCGGCTTCAACCCCTCCCCTCTCATGCCGCAAGCCTTTCCCCTCTCCTCCGTGGACCACAGGAGCGGGACGCAGCGCTCGAAGAGACGCGCCGGCAGCTGGAGGTGGAGGGCCGTGCGGAGGCGGAGAGGATCCGCACAGCGCAGCGCGAGGCGTCGGAGCGACTCGTTGTCGAGGCCGGCGACACTTCCGAGACATTTCCGAGACACTTCCGAGACACTCCTCCGGGACGCCTCCTCTCTCCGCCCCCTGCCAGCCTCCGGTCATCCGGCGGGGCGCGACGCCTCAAGACCACCCGACCCTCTTCCCACGGCCCTCCTCCCCACGCCCCTCCTCCCCACGCCCCTCTTCCCACGCCCCTCTTCCCACGCCCCTCTTCCCCACGCCCCTCCTCCCCAGGCCCCTCCTCCCCACGCCCCTCTTCCCACGCCCCTCTTCCCCACGCCCCTCTTCCCCACGCCCCTCCTCCCCACGCCCCTCCTCCCCACGCCCCTCCTCCCCACGCCCCTCCTCCCCACCGGCGGCGGGCTCACGCTCTCGGTGCGCCCCCAGGCCGGAGACCAGCTCCGCGAGCAGATGCAGGCGCATGCAGAGGCGGCGCTCGCCGCCGAGCGCGTGGCGATCGCGGCGCGGCGGCGCGCGCCGAGTGCGAGGCGACACCGACTTGTCGCGAGGTCGGTGTCGGGCTGAGCCGAGGCGAGCGCGCGTAGGCGCGCCGTGATGGAGGAAGAGCTCGAGGGGGAGATCGCCGAGCTCGAGGCTGCCAAGGCGGCCGCCGTCGACGCGGCAAAGAGCGCGCAGGCGGCGGAGGAGGCGGCGGCGGCGGCCGAAGCGGCGGCGGCGCTCGAGGCTCGGGAGGCGGCGGTGTCTGCGCGAGAGGCGGAGATGTCGGCGCGGCTTCGCGACCTCAGCGCGCGCGAGGTGCGGGCCGAGACACACCCGAGCCCTCCCCTCC